ATTGTATTAATGCTTTCCTATGGGGATTTTACTGATGCTGGATGTCCTCATGCAGAGCCTGAGTATGGCCAGCATCATTTAGTCCACTAACATCCAGGAAGTGCCTCTAGTGGCTGTTTGATTGACAGGACTAGAGGCAGTCTTGGTCCTGCAATGTAATCATTGCAGTTTCTCTATAACTGCAATGTTTTTCATTTCAGGACTAAGTGGGACTGGGACACTGCACCCAGACCTCAACAAAGAAATGAAGTGGTCTGGGTGACTATAATGTCCATTTAAGGACTGACTTTTATTTTTGCAACTCTGGCAACCGAAGTGCAGTTCTCCTTTTGGCATCTACAGGAAATTCTCATTCAATTACCAAATATAAACTTTTTTCTGCTAAAGAAAAACACTATATCAAAATGATATGTATAACATCTACCTTAATTTGTGCATACATTAATTTATTGGTAATTTATATACTGTATAATGCTACTGGTTTTATGTCACATCTGTTTTAAATAATATTTAATAAATATGTATACATTTTTAAATGATACAATTTACAGTATATTTTGTTTCCTTAATATTATTATGAATGCCTTACAAACATTGCATCAATTATCTGATTTTGAAACAAGACATTTTTTTTCAGAACGATTCCCTGATGTCGGCTGTTAATGAGACTGTTAAATAATAGTATCAGGTGAGCATAAATTATCCAGAGACTTAACTGCTCAGATAATGAGACATAAATGATGACTAATTACAATTTACATTTATTTTGCAAAACTTGTCCCAAATGAAAAGAACTGATGTCACAGCATTTTACTTAGAGAATAGGAAATTGCCATGTGCACACTTTTAATAGCTGTAATTATATTGCTCTCAGATTTATATAAAAATGAAATAACACTTAACAATCATGAATGTATGAATTAGCAACTCAATACAGTATTCTACATATTAATTTAATCATAATAAAATTTACAAAAACATTGTATTTATGGTAATACATGAACCTTGATAATATTTAAATTGTAATTATGTACACGGATATCTGACCCATCATTTCAATTACTGTCTATTTTTGGCTGCTCTATTTGACGTACTACCCATGTATTCATGTTGGACACCATTTAAATGGTTTGTATCTTCTATATTATCATAGGGCAAAATAATAGACTTTATATTAAGGAAATTTGATGCAGTAATGTAAGGTAATAAGAAGAAACGTTTCTAAAATGATTTGACTACTTGCAATGAGCGGTGAACCAGGTCACTGCTGGCATGATGCCCACTATACAATGCGGCAGTGATTATGTTGGATTGTTTGCTTAAAGGACCACTATAGTGCCTAGAGAACATACTAGTTTTCCTGGCACTATAGTGCCCTGAAGGTGCCCCCACCCTCAGGGACCCCCTCCCACCCGGCTCTGGGGAGAGGAAAGGGGTAAAACTTACCTTTTTTCCAGCGCCGGGCAGGGAGCTCTCTTCTCTGCCTCCGATTCTCCCATTCGGCTGAATGCGCATGCGCGGCAGGAGCTGCGTGCGCATTCAGCCGGTCTCATAGGAAAGCATTCATAATGCTTTCCAATGGATGCTTGCGTGGTCTCACTGTGATTTGGAGGATGGATTAACCCATTTATAAACATAGCAGTTTCTCTGAAATTGCTATGTTTATAAATAATGGGTTAATCCTAGAGGGACCTGGCACCCAGACCACTTCATTAAGCTGAAGTGGTCTGGGTGCCTAGAGTGGTCCTTTAAGTCATAAGCAATTGTTTTTTTGATTCTTTCCAGATTTGGAAGTAGGAATACATTTTTGGCCTCATAATATTAATACTGCAGGTCTGACTTATGAAGTTGTATATATTGCATGGAATTAAGAATATTTCTACATATTCCAGCTCCTGCAGATGCATTTGGTATATGCTGATAGGGCACGTTTTTTTGTTTTTTTTCTCACTTAAGGATGGCTATTGATGCTACACACTGGATGTGTGGAAAAGCCTTGTTCTTCTCAAAGTGCATGGGTTGAGTATGAGGTCAATTGCCCACAGACATATTTCTTTCATTTTCTGGTAAATCCCCTATTTTCAACTTCATATGACCCCTGCTCCCTTGTTCAATAATATAATAATAATAAGATAGCGGAAGAAAATGATTACAATCAATTATTCTAAAAATAATTTGTATCACTTCCATTTTCTTTTAATACAGATATGTAGTGATCTTATTTTGTCAACTCGGAAATGTCATTGCAAATTATGGCTGACATTGCGCAGCCAATAGGCCAGGCGATTGTGTAACCATTTTGCATATCATCACAAGTCCTCTTTTTATCTTCTGTTTTGGCTTTGAATGAACATTTCTCGTTATCGAAATTTGGCTGATTCAAACAGCTAAATTCTGTTAAACCAAAAAAAAAAATTAAAAGTAAGCTCTAAAAGCCCTCTTGGTAATTCATAATGCTGTTTATTTTGGCTATGTTTTTATTTCTGAAGAAAGAATAAAGAAGAGTTTCAAAGAAAATTATCAACGGGTTAATTTTATTTTGTATCATCTACTTCCTCTCTCATTAATACTTATTCATGGGAGGGGGTTCTTATGTCAAATAACACATAGAAAGTAGGTGGAGCAAATGGTGATAATTAAATAAGAATGCACGTCCCTCTCTTCCAACTTTCTCACTGTAAAAGATAGAGAGGTACAAAATAGTGCAGATATTTCTATACACAAATTATGGATAAAATATAAATACTATGCACTCACAATGGGAGAGCCATATAATAAAACCTGGCTCTGCTGTGGATCTCCTTTGGGACCTTAATTGGGTGATCCCCAGACCTCTTTGGTGGTGCTTGTTGCAGTATGTCTTCCTTCTCTTTCAATGATAGGCAATGGAGAAAAATAAAAAAAAAATTATATTCCAGAAAAAACATTTATTCAAAAAATTTTTTTAAATGGATATAAATAGTATAAATCCAAAAGGTGAAATTTCCTAATGTCCAGTAAGATTGCCAAAACGCGTTTCGCCGGTGTTGCTTCCTCAGTTGGCATAAAATAATAGTGTCCTCTGAGTCCTTTAAATATTTTAAAAATCGCGGTCAAATTTCTTCTGGTGGAACGCATCTTTGAGTTCCACCGCCTTCTTCCGGGTTCCGTAACGTCCGCGTCACTTCCGGTTTCGGCGAAAGTTCAAAGAATTCGGTGGAACGCATCCATGCGT